TTACATTGTATTTCATTATACAATCTAAATCATGATTATTTTATAGTTCACAAACATGGCATTAGCAATATTTGGTTCTGGATGGACTTGGTAAAGGAAATAATATTCAAAATGATATTTATGATTAAATTTATTTATTTACATAAATTATATTATCATGGATGGATATTAATAATTATAAGATTATATTGCATTTTAGGCTTGTCAAAACAGAATATGATACACTTTGTGTTGTCAATACATACAATGCAGGTTAATAAATAAATTAAATATTATTTTCATAGATAAAAGATTTAAATTATTATTATTATTATCTTTAATAGGAACAACGTTGGATATAACAAAATTACAGCAAGAAGATCCAAACAATCATCCATCAAGATTTAATAAAAAATCAGACAAGGATGACATAAATCAAAGTCAAAATCAAAATAAAGGATTATTTAACATCCTATCTTCTTCTTCTTCCTCTTCTTCCTCTTCTTCCTCCTCGTCATCATCACCATCATCGTTTTCATTATCATCATCAATTTTATCATCACCATTCCAAGAACAAGACACTTTAACACCTAGTAATCAAATTAAGCATGGAACTACCACATAATAGTCGACTAACACCACTTTTGTGTCTAAATGTTTGGGAACATGCCTACGTTAAACAATATGGAATTCTGAACAAATCCTTGTATATTGAAAACTTTTGGAAATGTATTAATTGGGAAGTTATAAATAATAGGTTTGGAGATGTGTCATCATAGAGTTTATAAATTTTTAAAGTAATATTATTTTTATTAATAAGGTAATCCAATTAATTAAATATTCCAAATCTCTTGATAATAAATAATAATAATCATATTTAATAATAGATATTCTTGCCTGAAATATTTTCATCGTTTTGTTTTGCTTTTTCGCTATTAGGAATTGAAGTATTAAGAATGCAAGCGATAGGACACAAGCATGTGAGAAAATATCAGATAATGCTGGGAAGACATCATTTATTTTGTTGATAGATTCAATATCACCCAATAAATCATTCTGACATAACTCTTTAAGATCTATAGGGCCATTAACAGATCGAGCAGTTTCATGATCCATACCAAAAAATTGTGGAGTTAATCCAGGTACCATTAATATAACAACTTTGGATATTAATTCTTTATTCTTTTTTTTTTTAAAAAAGGTATCAATGAATTATTAATTACACTAAAGAGATTCAA